ACCTTTCTTTCCCATACTGATGCTCGGTTTGAACTGCAGGAGATTGTCTTGACCATGTCTACATGCCTAAATGCACTGAGTTGCTGCCATGTGATTGGCTGCTTAGAAATTAAGTGTTAACGAGCAGTTGGACAGGTGTACCTAATAAAGTGGCCGGTGAGTGTAGTATATACTGCAGATACTGGTAATAATTTAACATGCTCATATTTATGCATAAAAATCTGTTTTAGTTGATCTTATTGAAAGTATTTAATGCATTTTGAATTTGGTTACTGACAAATTAACTATCCACTTTGTATCATGCATTTCTTTCACCAGATGAGGTCACAGAAAGTCATCGATTATGGCGCCATCTAGTGGTCAAATAAATGGAGATGAAAACTAGAAAACTGAACAACAAAAAAAGGAAAGAGTTTAGTCTCACCTTAAAAGCTTCATGGCTGACTGGTAATCCTCGCTCTCCCACACGTTCCTCTCCAGACAAATCAAATGGAGCTCCCTGATCTGAAACACACAGCAGCACACCTAGCATGGATAGAAAAAGGGCTCCGAGGCACCAAAAAAAAACAAAAACACAGTGCATCTTTGTACCAAAGGATTCAGTAAAAGAGGAGGGAATATTTACCTGTTTGCCCAGAGGGTAGCGAGGTAACGAGGAGGTCAGGGTGTGGAGACAGCGCAGGACGGGATAATAGTTCTTGTGGTATTTATGAAGATCCTTTAACAGTTTCTTACACACACCCTTAAATAAAAAAAAAAAAGAGTAATTTGTTCCAAGAATTCTCAGCTTGAACTAAAATAAATGGATTAATTAATCCCTAGTTTCGATAGTGCAAAGAAATCACCTTTAAAAGAGCGTCGTCTGTCATCAGCTTGTTCTGCTCCTCCTGCTCCTTTAGATACCTGCATTATGCAACCATAGAACAGAAGTCTTACCCATAAAGAAGAAATAAAACAGCTAAATAAAGATCACTCCTAAAGTAACAGAGTATTTCTGCACCTCTGGAATGACGGCAGCTGCCGGATCCGCTCCAGGTCGCCAGGCCCCAGCTGCTCCGCGTTTAGCTGAGCTTCCTTCTTCCTGCAGCACAGGAAGCTGAGAGGCTGGGAGTGAAAGTGCTCCAGAAGAGCCAGCTGTTCAGAGTGGGGCCACAAATTCAGCCTGACATGTTTGCACCTCTGAGCTACATGTATTTAAGGAAGCAGCTGGAAATGCTGAACCCTTACCTGAAGACCCTTTATGAAGTTTCGCACAGAGAAATCGTGGTACAGGAAGACGCTCACCAGCACCTGCATCACTTTCCCATTTAGTTTAAAGGGAAATTTGGACGTCAGGATGAGCTGCAGGGAAACAGGAGGCAGCGAATGATGGGAGGAACGCAAACCAAAAACATACAGAACGTTTGTTTGGGGGAGATTATGAGGATAGGATCACTGTTAGAGTCCACAAATCTGTATCATCCTGAGGGATGCAGTTAAACAGAACAATATTATGAGGAAAAAAAAATTTAAATCTGTAAATTTCAGCTAAAAAGAGAAACATCTGAGTTGAACAAAAATAAATGATATAATGTTTATATGTGTGCAAAAAAGAAGCTAATCCAAAATAAGCTACAGGCGTGTTCTGTAAAACATAAGAGGGGAAAGTAAAGATCTCTTCAGCTCATCTTTGCCCAATCAGAAAGCCCCGATTACAGCAGATGATCAGACGGCCTCACGTCAGACCGAGGACCGACGTAAAACCCCAACCTCTCGTTTAGAAATCCGTTTTATCCGACTGAGCCGAACCCGAGCAGAGACTCCAGATGAGCTTCTGAAGTCTCACATTTTTTGTATCTGAACACCAGAGGTGGAAAGTAACGAAATAAATTTACCCAAGTTACTGTATTGAGTAGGTTTTTTGTGTATTTTGTATTTTTCAAGAAGTTTTTCAAATCGGTAATTTAAATTTTACTTGATTATGTTTTGAGTGAAATATTGCACTGCAAAAACGATCTAGAAATAACTTAAAATTTCTTAAATTAAGTGTATTCACCCTTAATTTGAGTAGGTAAATGAGATAGTTTGCCAATGGAATGAGTATTTTTACTCTTAAAATAAGAAAATAAGATAATATGCACTTGAAATAAGACAATGCAATTGTGTTTTCTTATTTCAAGTGTAAATTGTCTTGTTCTATTGGCAAAATGTCTCTTTTAACTCCTCAATTTAAGAACAAATGCACTTATTTTAAGAAAAAATGACTTATATAGATTTAGATTTTTTGCAGTGTGTATTTCGTTACAATACAAATCCCATCCATTACTGAGTAAAAATAAAAAACTTTGGAAAACCGAAAGGAAGACAAAAAATGGGGCCCTGAAGCACTACAGTGAGTGACATGATCAGGATGTAGATCTAGGCTACCAGGCGCCAAGTCTTTCTGTAGGAGATTGG